GACTTGTTTTGTAAATGTGTTCTACAGTAAATTGATGAAGTTCTGATCTGTTGTGCTGTGAATAAGAATCTGTGGCCCAATAGACAGGAACGTCAACCTGAGGGGCTGTTTTCATGTTTCCATTTCTTATTTTGTAATTGTTTCTGTTGTGCTATGCAGTGCAGTAAAATAGTCTTGTTTTTTTATTTTCTGCATCACAATACAAAACAAATTACAATGCATACAGTAAAAGTGTAACTGTGAATCCTGTCCAATCTCTTGCAAGGTTTACTATAACTCTGTACTGTTGAAATTGATCTATGCCATACAGAAAAAGTACAGCCTTGTGCATTTGCAATCATTGTCATCAAAAGTTTAGCCATTTTGCAAATGTACCAAAGCGACAGAAGAAACCTGTAACATATTTTCACTTTATTGACTGTACTATAGTATATGTTACAAGAATGAATCAGAACTACACTTTACTTGTGAAAAAAAGAAGTTCCTGACATTTCAGTGCTACAATACACTTTTTTTCAGTTGTTTACATAGTTAACACCGGTACCTGAGACCCAATGACCACAGTCTGTAATCGATGTACCATCCCCTTGAACCAATTCTGCTAAAATATAAGCACATTTCTTGCTTTACACTCAGCTTGCAGTTTTATAGTAAAACCACATTCAAAACATTACACATATTTCTCTAAAACATAGAATGGATGTAAATGTTCTGCAAAGATTTTCTGTATATATCTGTCCAGCTACAGCAAAAATGCAGGAAATTGAAAATGTTCTGAAAATGTGCTGCAGATATACAGTGTTTTGCAGGTGGTGAAGTAGTAATGGGAAAATAGTTCATTGAATTCATTTTGTGTGAAAGCAATGAAAAATGATTCACAGTTTGGTCCACATACACTTCTGTTTCGCTGACTGTGTGAAGAGTTTTGACAATGTGACTTCAGTTTTGATCAATGCAGGTTAGCAATTGAAAAAAACTGTAACTCTTCTAAGGAGTCAACTTTAGCAACCAATGGTTCTGAGTTAAGGCATGTGCACATAAAGGCACATTTACACAGTTGTTCACTATGAATTATTACCACTAAAGGACTGGAGGAAAACATTAGAAAGAACCGTACTGCTGAATAGTCAGATGTAACCTGTGTTGAGCGTGCAGCAGCTGCAGCTCCCATTTACTGCTACAGTAGAAACTGACTTTTTATCGGGAATCCTGTGGGTCACGAGATTCCTGTGGGATTTCCGCGGGATGGGAGTCAATTTCAGTACACAGGACTGGGACGGGACAGGAAAAAAAGTCAACAGGAGCAGGCAGGACAGGAATCATAGATCAGTCATATATATATATATGACTGATCAATATGACGGCTTATGTATCTATCTATCTATCTATCTATCTATCTATCTATCTATCTATCTATCTATATATATATATATATATATACACACACAAACACAGTATATGCAGTTCTAATATGAATGAATGCTGTTAATTTATTTGTTGGGAACGCCATGGGGTGGAACAGGATTTGGTTTTTTACTTTAGTATTTTTGTGGGAGTAGGATGAAACAGGAGTAAAAATCCACTCCCGTGTCACCCACTAAACTACACGTTGACTCATAACCTATCTCTATTAGCTCAAATGATTAGCTTTCCATTTTGGAGTATATTTTAGATTTTATTTTCTATACTTTGTAAAAATGTGTCTGCTCAAGTCGAACACTGTTCTCTTTAGCAGCATTCAACCACAGTAAATGTGGAGGCAGATAGCACATCATCTGTTAATTTGTAAATGCAGATTCATCTGAGCAGGCCTTGTTTGAGTACAGGGAGCAGATTTAAATAATTGATGGACATCAACATTTCAGTTTATGTCTGTGTTTTGGCACAAGAGTGGATTATAGGGGTGAGCAAGTGAATAATAATTGTGTAATTGTGATTGACAGCTGAGCATTTGTGTGTCTGAATAAGCAATTTTCTTTGGTGTCTTTGGTTAATTTGAGTGTGTAGGCAGGCGTACATGTATTTGTGTGTGAACTGGTTATAGAAGGTTTTTTTAAACTAAATAAACAGTGACATAAATTATTTATACTGACACTGACAATATTAGCCCATGTCTGAATCCAATAAATAAAACACACTGGCTACATTCCTTTCATTACATTATTATAAGCTGTTTAATCAGCTGAGACATAAATTCAAACAATATCTTCCTACATTTCCATCTTCTTTCAGTTAAAACAATGGAGCTATTCTTTTACTTTTGTGTACAAGTTGCATTCAGACCCACTTAAACAAACTGCAATAAGTCTATGAGCCTTTCCCCTTCTCAAACTGAGCAAATCCACCAAACAAAGGGCCACCATTGTGGATAAATACTGCTTTTGTTTTACTTGTTTGAACCTGAGTTTTCCCTTAATGCAAAGGAGAGTGTGTTCACCCTTTTGCTCTTTTCAGACGCTTTGGCGCTGAATAACGGAGACCGCTGCCAAATGGGAAAACGACTACACAGGCAGAAAGAAAGACCAGAATCAATCAGGAAGTGGCAGCTTTTCAGCTGAAACAGAGGAGCCGGACAACTTCCTGGTCTTGTTGCCAAAGTGACTGGAAGCTCAGCCAACTGGTGCAGTAGGCAACAGTTGGGTTTGATGGGGGGATGGCGGAGGATGACGGTTGGGATATTGGACAGGAGGAGAGGGCAGAGGGCTGGTGAGTGAGGGTGAGGCAGTTTAAATGTAAGCATTGAGCACTTGAGTCTCTACTCTGTTTAAAATCTTTTGCAATCAGTTGCCTCATCCCTCCATGTACTCCCAGCTTCTTCTATGCTGGTTTGTTCAGACAATATGTTTTTGTAGAATTTTGCAAGATCTTTACCCTAATTTTATTTTACTGCAGATAAATGCACTCACATTATATGGAAGTTGTGTTTTCATGTTTTTTTCTCTCTCAGGAACATGAGCTTCAGAGAAGAGTAAATACTGTGTAATGCTTATACTAAAAATAAGCAAATAAACTCTGAGCAAGAGGAGCAAGGTGATGTAAAGAATATTCTAGCATATTCTGTCAATCTTAAACTCACTCTCATATCAATAATGAGAAATTATGTAGATATTGTTAATTAACACCTCTGTTGAGATGTTAGTCCTGGAGCTGGGTCAGTCTCCTTATATAATGATGTGCTTTTCCTGTGCAAAAACATACTACTATGGAATAATAAGTGTGTCTTAATTCTGTTTGCATCATGGGATATATGTTGCAATCATTTATTTTATAACAAGAGAGTGGCTGTAAATGTGTGTCCATGGGTTTGAGGGCGCACCGAGCAGGAATTTTAGTAAAACAGGTTATCAATCTTCACTTATGTGGATAATAGCAAACATGCAAATCTATTTTATTTTTCAAATTTGACCTTTGCATGATTGTATTATTTGTGCCGAATAAAATACAAATACAATGCCATGAACTACACTCACCACGCACAGTTATGAGGCACACCTAGTCAAAACTAATGCAGTCTAATATAACAGGTATAAATATATCCTACCTTCGCGAAGGTTTTAAGGTTCATAGAAAGGTTTATTCAACTTCATGTTTATTTTGTTGAGTGTTGAGGTGTTTCTAAGATTGTGTCCATCCCATTTATGGCAACAATGAGGGGTAGACCTTTGTGTGTTTGTGACTTAAAAATTAGTAGGCCTAGTTTTCTAAATGTTGAGCAGTCCTTTAGAATTTGATTGTATAAAAACTAGTAAGAAAAAAAAGTATGAGAAAGATGAAAACAGATTGGATGCCATATAATGAGTGCTTCGTGAAAAGTGTGTCACTAATTACAATTTTGCATATCTGAATCTAAACTTGCGGCGTTAATGTGTTTGTCCTCATCAGTCTGTGTCTATGGTCTAAAACCCCAGTTTCACAGAGAGAGGACTGGGGGCTGGTTGGGGAGGTGGGTGTTCTGGGGCATCAGGGGACCAGACTGGTGGAGATGGGTAAACACAGCTGGGGACACACAGTGCTGGTGGGTCTGCAGCTCAACCACATTTATCAGTATGTTTGCTCAGGAGATGTGCCATAATCTTCACACGCTGATCTCTGTGCAAGGCCTTCACAGACGCCTAACATGCTGGGATGAATGTGACCCTGTCCACAGTCACAGCCTTGTTAATTCCTACATGGCTAAACTTGAAAGTTCTTCTCTTTATAAAGGCGTATAAAGGTCATGTATGGCTCTGTATGTGTGTGGTTGAATCTCTCTGTGGGTGGGATGGCCCTGATGATTTACTAAACTCTATCGTGATCATAATCTGACTTTTCACTAAGAATGCAAATGTCAGAGTTTGCCAAATTACTTTCTTTTAGTTGATTATTGAGATAGGTATTGTCCCTAGTGCTTCAAAGATTTTCAGCATGCCTCAAAAATCATTCTTCTCTATCTATCTAGTAGTTTAAGGCAGCGGTTCTCAAACTTTTTCACGTGAAGGATCCCTAAACTGACACAAATTCAACCACAGACCTCCATCTGATAGTATTTTGGCTTTTAGATGTTTTAGATTATCCCAGAAAGTGTATATAATCCATGACCAATCTAGACTTAACTTCGGTCACTATGTCATTTATGGATGGAATTATAGTGAAAAGAACTGATTCCCCTTTTTACTGGGGACCCTCTGGAACCCCCTCAAGGACCACTTTGCGAACCACTTTTTTTATGGTTTCCACTGAAGATTTGCACTTGTACATTTTGAGTTTTGGATTAAACTTTGATTATCGCGCCATCTGCTGGCGACTACTTTCTGTTGTGTTGCTCTTTTCCCATCAGCTGCAGTAGTTGACGCTGTAAACTGAAGGCAGTGTGGGCTGTAACCGAATCATTATAAATTCGATGTATTTTTGTTTTTTTAACGAAAGAACTTTACATAAATGTTAGGCTCAATTAAGGCCACAAATAAATATAATTCTAGGCGGTAGGCGACGATCTGACTTTAATTTCTACAATATATGTCCTTTCGGCTTCCGTCAACGTCGCGTAAGCGCTTGACGTCAGCATAACAACAATCTGTCATGACAGCTCGTATGGGGAAAAAACATCGATAAAGATTTGATATCAAGTCATATAAAATCGGTCTCACCTGGATGTAAGATTCCTTCTGTAAGGTAAGGACTGGAAACCGCGGACCTCAGAAGCAAACCCTAACTTTGCACGGAAGTAGCAAAATTAGAAGGCTGTGTAGCAAAGAAGCTAACCTAGCATTAGCTCAATTGTGTTTTCTGAGGTTGCCTAGCGGTGACGAGGTAAATGTTGCGATAAAAGCCAAGACTTTTTCAGGCCTATAATAGCTATATTCCAAACTTCCAAATAAGTTGAAAGATTAAATAGTTACTTTTGTGACTGCAATTAATAAAGCCAAGTTGTCTTAATTGTCCTCTTAGCTACTAGCCAACCGCCCCGGCGTAAAACGTAGCTTACGATGCTAGCTTAGCTAACTAGCTAACATCTGAGCACCGATCTCTTCTTTCTTTTGTAACTAAAGTTAGGGACATTGTCACTCTGTCGCTATGCCTGCAGTTGCAACAACTGTATCTCAAATGTTAATGAGCCAAACGTTAATAATCACATTTAACGTTACTTGTTTACAACATTGAACTATCATTGTTATACCAGTGGTGTAACGTTAAAGTAGTTAGAGAGCCTTGCACTAACGGTAGGGACCGTGAGTGGATAATGTTTTGTGATGACTGGATAGCTAGCCGTGCTGCTCATTTAGTCACCACCGATGTCCGTCGCATGAATAGTTAATTCGTAGTCTAGCCACCTCGCTGTATTTCAGAGCTGTGTGCACACTCAGCGAATTAAACGAATGCCTTTTGGGTGGTATCAAGGACTGCACCTAATTCGCCCAAGACGCGCATTGCAGGTGTTTTGCAGTGAATGCACGCCTTGAATGTTGACTTAACGTTACACGTGTGTCTCTGATCTGGTTTGTGAGATCCAGGAGGGACAGGGCAGTCTTGAACCTGTCAGTTTAGCCAGCCGAAGAGACGGGGAACAGGATAGGGAAGCAGGGCGAGGCGGGCCCCGCGGAGCCGGTGGAGAAGATGGCCGGCAGCCCGGAGAAGAGTTCCACCGCGCAGGAGCTGAAGGAGCAGGGGAACCGGCTGTTCCTCTGCCGCAAGTACCAGGAGGCTGCTACATGCTACAGTAAAGCTATTGTAAGTAACCCTCATTGTTAAAGAAATATTACTAATGGTCGAATGGCGTCATGTTAACTAAAACATAGTATGGTCCTTGTTAGATAAAAATGGAATGGATGCATTTTCCTCTGAATGTGTTTGTGAAGCCTAGTCTACAGTGCCGTAATCTTACTGTGCATGTGATTTGATTGGTATGTCCTGTCTCCCAGAACCGTAATCCATCTGTGGCAGTGTACTACACAAACAGGGCTCTCTGCCATGTGAAGCTGCAGCAGCATGACAAGGCTCTGGCAGATTGTAAGCATGCACTGGAGCTGGACAGCCAGTCAGTCAAGGCCCACTTCTTCTTGGGCCAGTGTCACCTGGAGCTGGAGAACTACGATGAGGCCATAGGCAACCTGCAGAAAGGTCAGAACAAACCCCTTGAATATGGTGACACTTTTGCAGTAAATAAAAGCAGCTTGCTTGTTACTTTTGTATTTCCTCATTTATGTAGTAGTCCACGCCTTCTGTCCTGCCACCCAGTCCTGCTGTCAGAGGTTTCAGTGTTAAGGCCAATTTATACTTGTGTCGAATCTGTGCCATAGCCCACATGTAGCTGCATACCCTAAGCTGTAGCCTGACCTGCACCTCCCCAAAAATGTAACTACATGTTGTGGCAATGCAGACTGCAAGAACTTTGATTGTTCGTCTTGGTACCATCGCATTTCCTCTTGCGCATTTCCAGCTTGCCCTTCTTCTGCCTCAACTGATTCAAGGGTCTCACATACCATCTCCTCTGACGCCTTCTCTCATTTCTGTGTTGTAGTAATTTCTGTAAAAGTAACTTCTGTTCAACATCGATCAGCTCCAACTCCAACGTGATCCACTCAGTTTCAGTCACCATTGTTTGTAATAGCCTACACCAACGATGAAGAAGAAACTCAACACAGTGGAACACAGAAACTCCACTGCTAAGTAGCGTTTTGATGGTGTATAAGTATAAATGCTCACGGCGGCACTTAGCCTTGACTCGAGACAGAACTATAGATTGGCCTTGAGTGCTGATTCTACAAGTAGTTGTAACTTTTTCAAATCAGTGTTGATTGTCATAATCAAATTCATGATACTGTTGTTGTCATATCATCCCTTGTACTCTGAGGCACTTTATGGGCACAGCACATGTTTGCAAACATGTATTACAGTATGCCTTGTCAGGGACTCTATCACTGGAATAATATTATTCTACATTACAAGGTATGGAAAGTTTTCTTTATCTAAATCGTTGACATGACGTCTATGGAACAAGAGATCTTGGCTGGAAAAGAAAACTGTAGGAAAGACTTTAATGGTAAACCAGTGTTGCTGCAATAATGTTTTTATTTTCTGCAGCTTATAACCTGGCAAAAGAACAGAGGCTGAATTTTGGAGATGACATCCCCAGCGCCTTGCGCATTGCCAAGAAAAAACGTTGGAATAGCATTGAGGAGAAGCGCATAAACCAAGAGAACGAGTTACACGCCTATCTGACCAAACTCATACTGGCTGAGAAGGAAAGGTGAGGCTGTGGGGTGGCAGTCACAGTATAATATTAATTTGGTTCTGATTGGAGGGGTCATTTCTAATAACTTTGTATTTATGCAGAGAACTAGAAGAATACAAAGAGAAACAGGACGACAATCAAAATGGAGGCGATGCTGCCAAGATTGCATCAAAACATGTATGTTTTACATGTCTTGGACTAACTTGGTTGTGTTTAATTAAGGAATATTGTAATTATATATTCCAGCTGAATATTCATGAGTGTGTCTTGTCATACCAATGTGACCTGCTTAGGACAAGTATCTAATGGACATGGATGAGCTCTTCTCTCAAGTGGATGAGAAGAGAAAAGTGAGTATGAAAATTAGCTTATTATTACTACTATCAATTGAGCATGTAATAGTGTATAATTGAATTCCTTAATTTCTCCTACCCTCTTATTCCTATTAGAGTAGGACTGGAGTTTATCCCAGCATGCATTGGTGGAAAAAAGGGAAACATCCTGGATAGGTCACCATCATCCATTACATAGCTAACAAACAGACAGGCACACGCTGATCACATTCACCCACACAAATGCATCTTTGCTAACAGCACACACCTACTTCACAACATCTTTTATTTTTTTTTTTTTTATCGTTGACATAGCAACAAGAGGAATAGACTCAAGTACACTTTCAGATTTGTGTGTGTTGTGATGGCTCATTTCAGATGAGTTTTTTTAGCATGTGTGGGCATTGTTTCTGCGTTGTTCATATGTTGTATATTATAGTCTGCTACCACTAATGCTTGTGAACAATGCACTCATACTGTAGACAGATGGCTTTATGCTATTTCCAGCCCAAGCTGTTTCTATTGTTACCATCCCTTTTTGTTTATAGCGAGAAATTATCCCTTTTATTGATAGTTGTTGACTGAAGTGAGTTAGTTATCATGTAATTGTCAGTTGAAATGACCCCACTGACTGGCAGCAGGGTATTTGTCTTCTGTTTGTGTTTGGCGAGAGGTTCAGTGTAGAACTGGGAAATCCCGATAGACAAAAAAAAAAGTTTTAATATAGTACCTTTTTGATTTCAACAATTTGGTAATACTTTTAGTATGAGCATTGGCGCTTTCATACAATATTTAATCTGAACTTGAACTGGGTGATATGTTTTCGGAGGACAAAAACATTGACGTGGATAGGATTGCCAAGTGTAATGAACCCTGTAAAACCAGATTACAACAAAGATAACAACTGTATCACAGCCTTATGGTCGCATTTATATTGAATCCATATATCTTTTATGTTGACTCTTGCTGTGTATTGTCGTCCGTTCAGAAGCGGGAGATCCCAGATTACCTGTGCGGGAAGATCAGTTTTGAGCTCATGAGGGAGCCTTGCATCACACCCAGTGGAATCACCTATGATCGCAAGGACATTGAAGAGCACCTACAGGTAAAATCATCATCAGTTACATGCGGACCATATTAGAGTTTACATTTTTTGCTTATGACTACTGATTTTGTAATTAGTTAGCCTTAAGTTCATAAACTGTGGTCACATGAGCATAGGATAACTCATGACTTTTAGTCAACCAAATTAAGTAGCCTTGATGAGGAAGTCAATGAGTAGTGACTCAAATAAGAAAACTCATGGCAGTAGAACACAATTCCTGCTACTGTTTGAGCAAGAAATACTGTTTTGAAATGTATTTCCTTTGGATAACTCTGATTCTTATTTAGGGTTACCTCAATATCTTGTACAAAATGCAAACCTTGCTATGTCACTCATTTCAGTTATATTCACATCGGTAGTCATATAGCTTTTTAATATTAGGTACTTTATGTTTTTATCTGAATTTATGAACCCCCCAAAATATACACTGCTCAAAAAAATAAAGTGAACATTTAAACAACACAATGTAACTCCAAGTCAATCACACTCCTGTGAAATCAAACTGTCCACTTAGGAAGCAACACTGACTGACAATCAATTTCACATGCTGTTGTGCAAATGGAATAGACAACAGGTGGAAATTATAGGCAATTAGCAAGACACCCCCAATAAAGGAGTGGTTCTGCAGGTGGTGACCACAGACCACCTCTCAGTTCCTATGCTTCCTGGCTGATGTTTTGGTCACTTTTGAATGCTGGCGGTACTTTCACTCTAGTGGTAGCATGAGATGGAGTCTACAACCCACACAAGTGGTTCAGGTAGTGTAGCTCATCCAGGATGGCACATCAATGCGAGCTGTGGCAAGAAGGTTTGCTGTGTCTGTCAGCGTATTGTCCAGAGCATGGAGGCGCTACCAGGAGACAGACCAGTACATCAGGAGACGTGGAGGAGGCTGTAGGAGGGCAACAACCCAGCAGCAGGACCGCCACCTCCGCCTTTGTGCAATGAGGAGCAGGAGGAGCACTGCCAGAGCCCTGCAAAATTTGAGCAGACACATGCACATTCCACAAATGTGCATGTGTCTGCTCAAACGGTCAGAAACAGACTCCATGAGGGTGGTATGAGGGCCCGACGTCCACAGGTGGGGGTTGTACTTACAGCCCAACACCGTGCAGGATGTTTGGCATTTGCCAGAGAACACCAAGATTGGCAAATTCGCCACTGTCACCCTGTGCTCTTCACAGATGAAAGCAGGTTCACACTAAGCACATGTGACAGTCTGGAGATGCCGTGGAGAACGTTCTGCTGCCTGCAACATCCTCCAGCATGACTGGTTTGGCGGTGGGTCAGTAATGGTGTGGGGTAGCATTTCTTTGGGGGGCCGTACAGCCCTCCATGTGCTCGCCAGAGGTAGCCTCACTGCCATTAGGTACTGAGATGAGATCCTCAGACCCCTTGTGAGACTATATGCTGGAATCCAATTGAGCACATCTGGGACATCATGTCTCGCTCCATCCACCAACGCCATGTTGCACCACAGACTGTCCAGGATTTGGCTGACGCTTAAGTCCAGGTCTGGGAGGAGATCCCTCAGGAGACCATCCGCCACCTCATCAGGAGCATGTCCAGGCATTGTAGGGAGGCCATAGAGGCACGTGGAGGCCACACACACTACTGAGCCTCATTTTGACTTGTTTTAAGGACATTATATCAAAGTTGGATCAGCTTGTAGTGTGGTAGTGCTTCCACTTTGATTTTGAGTGTTACTCCAAATCCTGACCTCCATGGGTTGATAAATTTGATTTCCATTGATAATTTTTGTGTGATTTTGTTGTCAGCACATTCAACTATGTAAAGAAAGGAGTATTTAATGAGATTATTTCATTCATTCAGATCTAGGATGTGTTATTTTAGTGTTCCCTTTATTTTTTTGAGCAGTGTATATACTGGTAATGAAGTTACTGAACTTGCACAACTTGAGCTTGACGATTGAACATTTCAGACCACAGCCTTTCAGATAGGTGGTAAAATATTTCAGCGGTATTTAATAATAAACATTAAAGGTTAAGTGTGTAAGATTTAGTTGCATCTAGAGGTGAGGCTGCGAATTGCAACCATCTGTTCAGTCTACCACTGCCCCCTACCCTTTCAAAGAGTGTAGGACAGCTAAGTGCTACACAGTTTAAAAGGTGTCTCTTCTGAGACAGCAGAGAGTGGCCAGTCAAGAAATTATATTTCTTTAGGTAGATATATTAAGAAATTATATTTACTTAATTATTCAGTAAAACCATATGTTATTGCGACTTGGTCACGGAAAATGTAAGCCAAGAGTGTGTAACATTTACACTGTTTCTGCACCACAGTCCATTATAAACCACACATTAAATAAACTTTATACAAACATTGACAAGGAAAACGCATTAATTCTCTCTATGATTATGGACCCTCGACAAAACTGCCTGCCACCAATAATATTTGGCCCACAGCCAGATTATGGTGCTTTGATAGCGGTGCTGAAATAGATCTCAGTCATGACAGCAACAGTTACTCACATAATCACTTCCTCTTTAGTGGGTTTGCCTACAAAATAAAAGCGCAAGAAGCTTGTTTACTGTAATGCTCTAGTTGGAGTTGAACAGAGCTTTTACGTCGAAAAATTCTCCTGTTAGCCTGCTAGACACACCTCTGAAAGAGCCGGCAGAAAACGTGATTACCCTAAAGGTCCTCCGCCTGGAGACACGGGAAATGAAAAAGCGTCTGTAGATTGATGGATGTGGATCAAACGCCAAAACACACACACTGCAGCACATCCAGTAATATGAGCATGAGAAATGCTGCATGATCCATTTGTTGAAGAGAGGAAAAAAAATTGTCCTGAAGTGAGATTGAATACGCAACCTTCAAGGGGCGAGTCCTGCCCTTTACTGAGCTAACTGAACACTGTGTGAATAAAGTCCAATATTACATCTTATATTCTCACCCACAATCTAATGGTTGAAAAGATGCTCTGATGCAAAACTTATTTGCCGACCCCTGCTGTATATTATTACTACTACTACTTCTTTGAGCGTGCGTATTCAACGTAGTGATGAGCGTCTACACTGCCTGAATTCTACCAGAAGTAGAACAAGAAGAATGCATAATAAAACATAAGGGTTTATCATGCAAGTATGATAAACTGTTGGTATACACCACTGAAAACATAATTATGGATCTTATTAGGTCTGTCCCCGACTAAGGATTTACATAGTCGAATCAGAATCGTCAAGTCCTGCCTATAGTCGAATCATGTGTGTTTTTGTGCACAGCGATTGCGAGCCGAAGCTAAACTGAGGCTTATTGTTGACCATTTTTTTTCTCTCCCTCTCTCTCTCGCCTGCCATTCACCGGTCTTGTGCAGAGTTTTGCGTGCATGCCATGCTGCCGACAACTGCACACATGTAGCGGTTCCTCGAGGGTCTATTCAAGTAGCTGGCTGTTTAAAAACGATATAATCTTTGTGTGGTTCAGCTAAATTAATAAATATAATGTAAATGGTTCATCAACGGTGATAAATCATCCGAAAGTCCCGCGAGGTGCGGACAACTCGGCACTACACCAGTGAAGCTGGGGCTCCATCTCTTCAGCAAGTGTTCCTCAACTGCCACTTACATACACGCTACGCCTACTGCGCATTGACGACACAGGGTTAAGATTACACTTTAAAAACATTTATTGAAAGTTTTTCTTCTTTTTACACGTTTGTTTACAGCATTAAATGTTGAAATGTATATTGTAATAGGCTGTATATTAACTTATTTGGAGAATACTGGTAGTTCTATGTAAAATCAGATGTTGAGCACCCCCATTTCTCCAAAATGGCATGATCCTTGTTTCCCTGCAAAGCTTCGACTGAGATTGACAGTCGAATCAGGCTCCGCCCATCAAAGCATCGGATCTTCAACTATTGGGGGTCAGCCCTAGATTATATATAGCATTTCTGTCAATAGATCCTCAGAAATATCAAGTATTCAGTAGTGGTTACATTTCAAAGTGAGGTATTCAGTTGCTGGTATGATTGAAATCTTTTGGCCTTTATTTGCGTCCATATTCTGATGAACCCTTGTGATATTCGTTCACAAGCCCTGGTTCACTTGGAACTTGTGGTGGGTAGGCTTAAAATAAACAAACACATAAAAATGAACTTTGTTCTAAGTCAAGTCAGTCAATATATTGTACATTGTAGTACATGAAATGGTCTTATTCAACCACAGATGCTAACATTAGCATTTAACCTGGTCTCTGTGCAGCGAGTGGGTCATTTTGACCCAGTCACCAGGAGTCCCCTGACCCAGGACCAGCTGATCCCGAACCTGGCCATGAAGGAGGTGATCGATGCCTTTATCCAGGAAAACGGCTGGGTGGAGGACTACTGAAGGGACCCCCCCTCTCCCCCCTCAATCTCCCATTTCTCAATCAGACCCCGACACTCAACACAAAGCCTGGATAACACAAGACTGTAGAGAACAGATCACCCCTTGCCGGGATTTGTACTTTACACAAGTGGGAAAAGCCACACTATGGACTACCAAATGGGAGCCATGTATCTCGGTCTGCCTCTTCCTCCTCACATTTTATCTTTGCTGTAAAACTTCCCGCTCCAAACTTCTGAGGCTCGGCATTCAAGGCCTGCTGCTCCCTTTAAAAACTCCCTGAATCTGCTCTTTCTATACTTTCTCTCTTCCTCTTCCTTTCAGTCATGCTGATACTAGTTTTTCAAGCCTGACTCCTTTCTTTACTCAAAATAAGGGGCCACGTTCTCAGGTCTCTCTCTTGCTCCCTCTCTCTCTCTCTCTCTCTCTCTCTCTCTCTCTCTCTCTCTCTCTCTCTCTCTCTCTCTCTCTCTCTCTCTCTCTCTCTCTCTCTCTCTCTCTCTCTCTCTCTCTTTCTCTTTCTCTGAGTGCCACAATCCTTGGAGAGCATCAGCATTGCAATCCAGTGTTTCACAGAAACCACAGATATAAAAAAAAAAATACACATGGTGGTTGACTTAATTAAGACATTGGCCTTTTATTTGGCATTTACTCCAGTATTTCTTTTTCTGTTATTCATTAAACATTGGAGCATTTGCCCATATGTACATTTGCTGCTGAAGATGAACCTAAAATGCCAAACAAACAATTCTCAACGAGGGTGAGCAGTTTGTATACAGGTTTTTACATGATGATAATTAAAAAATAGTTGTAGGGAACCAAGTCCCATCTCCACCTCCAGGTGGCGCTCCAAACGTAGACACCCACACCATACTGTAAAATTTTGAGTAGATGTTAGTGGTTTTTTTTCCTTTGCATATCAATCACACCCCATTACAGACAATTGAAATCAGTTGAATGTATGCATAATGTACTCTTTAGGTTCAGGCTTGACCTACTGTAATTCAAAATGTTTTTTATCAGGACAATACAAGGTTTTCATGAACCGCGGCCTTGAACCAGATACAGAAAATGAATGCAAACGACTGCTGCATACGAAAAAAAAAGTTTCACATTGCTGGATATAAATTGGAAATGTTAGAATTTTGATAGATGATAGCTGTTCGGGTTGATGCTCAAACCTGCTTTGAAGAATGGTCTGTGTTGTCAGTGTTGGTCATAGAAACAAAAATGCGCTTGGACATTGTGTTTGGCTCGTGCTGTTTGCCTGGAATGACGGTGGATGCTCCCGTCGAGCATGAAGTAAGTTTTCTTTTCCTGTTGCCAAGGAAAGAAGTTGGTTGACATTTTCCCTCACAGTTTTGCTGTTAATTTTACGCACCTACTCCTCACAGAGTTTTGAAGAAAATGGTTGCACGAGCGTATGTAAACCAATCGTTGGCGTGAAACTAACTCCAGGTTTAAGCGGTGTCTTGTTACAGGGGTTGGAGGTTCACAAGCATCGCTGTACCAACCTCCTCTGTGTTTGAAATGCTGGAAGAGTTACGACCATCTTATCTCATCCATACCTCAGTCCCAAGTATTTGCGTGCTGGTTCACTGGCATTCCCTGTAAAACACATTTTCAGTTCAGCGCTACTAGTTTACATGTTTTCAGCTGAATGTGTGTCTGTGGTGAAGTGGGCCTGTCGGTGGTTCGTGTCAGGGGTGCAGGCAGTGTAAATAATTTGCTTGTGTATCTCAGATTTTATTTCTTGACAAAATTAGGGTTCTTTTTTTCTTGAGAAATCCTAGAGCTTGAGAATCTGTATTAAATGTAGATATGTTAATAACATAAATGCTTGGTTCAGTTTTCATTTGTCCCCATTAAACCATGAACTTTGAGTTTGTTGTTTTTTTGACACAATATGGTCATTAAAGAGGTACCTGGTATAATGACAAGCAAAATAACAGTTGTGCAGTGCAATCCATGACATGAGCCCTGCAATAAATGTTAAGTTAGTGAACCCAGTATTTGTTATTGTTCAGAATCTGAGGCACCTGATTTTGTAGTTTGTTACAAAGAAATGTGCCATTAACAGTGTTGTAAGTCAGTGCTGGTGTAGGTCTTGTGTCCACTGTTCCATTGCTCATTCAAAAATATCAAAATATCTGATATGTCATTGTCAGATTTTAGTATTCAAAAATCCAGTACCAGTGGGGCTGTAATGTGTGGGTGCACCTTGGGTGGGTGTATCTTTGAAATGACTGTCAGTTGAAAACTTTTAAAGTTGAACAGTTTATGTTTATTGTAGATGTTTGTGTTATCCACTGTCATATATTAAGTGTCACCATTAGAAACCTATTTCCCTGAGGTAAATGGTTGGGTTAAACAAATTTTTAACCTATTTTAAGCCTAACATGCTCATGACATAAAGGGGCAGTAGGTACAATAAGTCTCATTCTGTTAAATAGGCAAGTAACTGCATATAAAAGCAAAAGTATCTGCTGCATTAGATACCACAAGAGACTTTTGTAATTTGGATGAACTGATGCTTTAAGATTCCCACACAAACACCCATAGTTACTGTAATCAAGTACAGAGTGATGTCACAGTACAAATAGGAACTTTCATGGACGTAATATTGGAGCCAGATAACTACAAAAACTGCAGAAATGACGTCTGCAAACATTGCTGTGTAAGTCTATTATGGGATTTGGATGCGCATACATACACACACATAGGTGAAATGGTGTGTGTTTGCATCAGTCACATGGACTGTCACTCAGCCCTCACACACCAGGCCTATTGTCAGAGCATCAGTTGAAGAGCTGACGTCTGGTGCTAGGAGGGAAGAGGACTGGGCACGGGGCATTAGCAAGAAGGACTGGGATAGCGACACCAAGGCTACAAAACCTCAACATCAAAATGGTAAGAAAAGCTGTTTTATTTTTTCACATTATTTGATTTCTCGCGTGACTTGTGTGTTCATAGACTGATAGGACTTCCTTTTAGGACATTCTCACATGATAATAGATGTCTTGTGTGTGTTTGCAGAGTGTTAATACTGTGAGGTTTGCTGTGCTTGTGCTTGGATGGTCTCTGACACTCTCCTCTGCCACCCAATGTATGTATCCCAGAATTTCATTCGAAAAGATTTTATTTTTACTTGTGTTTGTGCACAAATTTCACCTTCACGTGTTGTGTGTCATTATCTCTATCTTCCCTGTTTGTTTTGCTACAGTGGGTCTGAGCGACAAAGTCCTGGTCTTCCCTTTTGAAACGGACTTCAGCTTTGTGGCCCTGATCCCGCAGAAGGAGATGGGGTTGAGGGCCTTCACTCTCTGCATGCGCGTGGCCACAGAGCTGCCGGAAGAACGGCAGATCATCCTGTTCGCCTACCGCACAGCTGACTACGACGAACTCAACGTATGGCGTGAGAAGGACGGACGCATCTCCTTCTACATGAGCGGTGACGGGGCCTCCTTTCACCTGCCGCCCCTCTCCACCTTCCGCACCAGCCTCTGCCTGACCTGGGAGTCTCGCACTGGCCTCGCTGCTTTTTGGGTGGAAGGGAAACGCAGCACCTACCAGGTCTACAAACCCGGGCACACCATCCGTCCAAAAGGCACCGTCCTGCTGGGGCAGGACCCAGACAAACACCTGGGGGGTTTAGAGGCCGTGCAGAGCTTTGTCGGGGAGGTGACTGATCTGAATATGTGGGACTTTGTGCTTTCCAGGAGCATGATCCAGGCCTGGCACTATGGGCACAAGGTCCCCAAGGGCAATATCTTTGACTGGGCTACTATTGAGTATGAGCTGAATGGGAACGTGATGGTGGTGGATGATGACTGACTCGGTGTGGAGTCAAATGCAGAGAGGGATGCGGCTTTAGAGATCTGTGTAGGACTGATACTGATTTGTGTGATTGTCTTTCTTAGATTCAGTGTTGTTTTATGTTAGGGCCCTTCCACCGATCTTCCATCAAGTCCACGAGTCTCTGTTTTAATGTTGCATGAAGAGACTCTTGATGATTGGGTCAAGAGAATAAAAGGGACCAGTGTTTTTAAGGGTTTTCAGTATGCTGGTTTAATATCCTCCAGTATGTAACCTGTAACTAAATTCAGCAGCAAAATGCACAGGCAACAAAAGCTAATACATTGTGGTGCTCAGAAGTCTTAAGGTTGTTTTACATCACTAACTCTTTATGCATCACTCAAACCTTTTGCTCAGTTGCTGTGAGTAACAAACCGGTAAATATCAGGCACCAAATGTTGATGTGCCAGATGTATCCATAGGGTGGCACTCTCTACTAGTTCACATCAAACAGACAGTCCTGTGGACCGAAGCATCATCACGCATTCATCCAGTAATTTGATTTGGCATGGTTATGCTTATGGGGGTCGTTAACGAGGCCAACAATAATTGATTGAAATGTTTAGAAAAAGAAAGGTGTTGCTACCATCCAGATCAATTTAAATATGTTGTTTTATATGCAGGTGGACATTTAGCAAATAAAAATAACTAAGACATCTGCTCACATTACCATGATGCTATAATGTATTTAAGAGCAAATTTCAACAGCTGACAACTGCGATGCAATTATAACTAAAACTAAAATGATCTTAAGCTTTTTTGGGCAGAATGTAACATATTATAACAATGACTACTACTGTGACTATGCAGTTAGTAACCTACGTATTTGTTTGTCCAATGATATTGATGATAAAAATGCAAAGGAGATATTAAAACAGCAAACTGGGAGATGAATAGTTTCTGTGTGGACTTAAATGATTTAACTGCACTCAGAGACAAATAGCAGTTATCATGTTTAATATCCATTGCCATAATGTTGCCTTAGGTAAGCGTACTCACTCATGAATTTTCCATGTTTCAACTGATGTAAGAATGCTTTTGGGTCTGAAATAAAATCTTGCCATGTGCATAACTAATAATGTTTGTAATTAAGGAGAATATTTCGTCTTTGAACTCTTGCAGCTTCCTTTTCTTGATCATCTTTTTTTTAAATACACATTTTAAAGGAATAATAAATTGTATATGTAATTCAAACAGGGGAGTTATTAAATATCTTTTTATGTAATTTTTTTATTTAGGAATTAATACTAGAACTTTTTAAAGAATTTCACTCATTTTGCTGGAGGAGCAATGGGGATGCAAAGCTTCCACAAAAACAGAAGAATACATTTTGGTTTTTACTGAGAAAGCACTAATTAAGTTGGACTTGTCCAACTATTTCTTGGATGCATAATGCTATTATTAAAAATCTTGTAATGCTCCATTGATAAAATATATTTTTTTCAGAAGATCATTTTTGAGCTCTAGAATGAAAGAAAGGGCCTCGTCCTTATGCCGATTTGTCTCTAGATTTTTCTCTCATTTCTCCAGTGTTTCTCAGTAGACCACATTAAACAGACAGTATAAGTGTCCTTGTCTCTCTCCCTCTGCATGTTTGTTTCTTTATCTCTCTTTACCTCGTGTGTGTATGTGTAGTCTGTCCTCTTTCCAGGTCCCACCCAATGTTGGAGAGGAGGTCGAGTGGCACAGGTCTGACTTGGAACATGCTTGACATCCACCCGGATCCATATTCTTCATATATGTTTACAAGGTATAAGGACAGAGGGGGTCGTCTGCTGTATAGATTGTGAAGCCCCTTGAGGCAGATTTGTTGTTTGAGATATTGAGCTATGTAAATTAGATTGACGTGACTTGAATAAGATGAATGGTTACATGTTACTTGCAGAAATCAAGTCATATGGAGTTGATTCACTAACCCCCCTCAGACTAAGCTCAAGGTCAGATCTTCTCCATCCATGTGTAACACAGTAACCCCAAGTTCCAGTGTGCCGTCTTCGTTCATCTCCATGGCTCTGTGCACTCATCCTCTCTGCCTGCACCACCATCGTGACCTCCTTGCAGAGACGAGGGAGAAGTTTTCCAGCGTATAGCCCGTGCAGGCTCCCTTGAGGGTGGGAAAGTACTGCTTTCTGAGTGTGTGTTTATTCCAACCAAATCACCCGTTGGCTCTCTCACAGCAGCTAAATAAGGAGAAGGCCGGGCCAATGAGTTCTGACTGCGGGTCAGCAGCCAAATGTTCCACCTTCTTGGATGTTGCAATGCATCAATCGCAGTGCCCACTCACTGTGTGATAACACCTTTGTGGACCATCTGCCCAAGCCTGCCTTCTCAGCCCTCTGGTATGCGCGCACACAAAGACACACACACACGCTCTGTTATTTCCTTATTTTTTGCATCTCTGCCCAAAAGGGCTACTAATTCTGCAAAAATATACATGCAAAAATTCCTGCTTATAAAGGCTAAACTTCATTGAGTGCTTTTAGTATTTCATTCATTTCAAATTTAAAAACATCTATTCAAAATTTAAATGTGCAAAATGTGGATGAAATTGTATTTTTCTTTTTAAAAAAACACACTTTCCATTTCATGACTTTTTTTAATCCAGGTTAATGTTCTGGGGGCCACACACTTTTCACACTGTTTCTGTACCAAAGAAGGGCTCTAACTGTGTAACAGAAGGACCGAATCAGTGGCTGGGGCTCTTCACAGAGTGGATAATTATTCCCTCTGTGTCCCTGTATTGCATGTATTATCCAACTGAGCAAACAGTTGCAGGGCTCCTTGTCCTGCTCGCGGACAGGGCCGCCAGTGTGGGCTTGTGAGATCTGCATATTGGCCCATGGTGGTTTAAGCTGTCTGAGGCAAAGCGTTGCCACTGACTGTATGTGCATGCGTGTGGAGCTGGTGAAAATGTTTTCCACGTGAGAGGAGATAGACGGCAAGAGGGAGCCCCGCGTGAGCCAGCGAGGGGAGACAGAAGGAGGGCCGTTCTGGATTCCTTCGAGCAACTCCAAATAGATTTCCAGGCAAAACATATTTGCATACGCAAGACAGTGCTACGAGCTATCTGAGTGAGCTGTGGCATGTGTGCATTGAACAGATGGATCTTCTTTTTTTCTTTTTTTTTTTAGAGCTTTCTTGCAGATCCCATTAAATTGAGATCTTGGGCATTAATAGAGCCTGCTTTTTGTTCATGAAGCGTACAAAGAATCATGAGGATCACGTTGCTCTTTTTAATCAGATTTAGCACACAATGATCAGATGAGTCAAAGGCATTATATAAAATCTACATGTTTTAAACATCAACTTCTAGGAATCCATGCCTTAACCAAACCAGGACATGAATACACAGCAGAAGGAAGAGAAGACTGTGTCTCTTTCATTCTCAAATTGAGTCAGAAAATATTTTCTGCTAACACTTCTATTACCAAAGAAACTTCACTGAGCTGCAAAAATTCCCCCTTAAATGATAACCTGCCAAAAGGATTACGGCCTCATCTTTGGTCTGTTATAAGCCAGAATTGTCTTAACAATCAATCAACAGCCTTGATTCAAATATTTATCTTATTGAATATTTCCAGAAAAAATATTTATTGAAAATTGCACTTTTAGTGGGATGTGATTCAAAGATTTTGATTCACTTCATCTTTTCTTAGCAAATGTTCACCAAAGGCTCGATGGAGGGTGAAGCTACGACCCGAATGTGAGGTTACTCCTTCACTCTACCGCTTTGACTCTCTCTCACTCCCTGTTACAGGTTGTACTCAGCCAGTATGGTTGCTCGTTCTCCCCCTCTGGGCTGTATGAAAAATTCACCAGGCCTTCCCATTAGAGTCAGTCTGAATCAGCGAGCAGGCGTTACAATGGCCACACACACACGACACTTTTATCAATCGACGCTTAGTAACGCAAATGTTAGGCTATGTTTACGAAACACAAAATCACAACAGTCCCCAGTTGTTGTTTTTTTGCTGCAGGTCAAGGACATACTGTATGTACTGTACATAGAGATGTACACTCACAATCATGAGCAGTCCTGAATTGTTAAAACCAGATGGACTATACCCTTTTCAGTGCAGGCTTTTCACACTGATGGTGTGAGACCTGACCTTTACCGTGAGAGCAGTTGGCTCTTTCCGGGGCGATACCTCAAGGCAGGGCAGCTAACAATGTACTGTCTATCTATGAGTACACATTGCATGTCCTACTGTCGGGAAGTACTGAAACACTGAGGGTGTGCAGGGTGTACAACACCTGACGCTAGCCCTGCAATAGCTAATACTTTCATGAGGGATAAAATGTTTTGTGTCTGACAGGTGTTGATCGAACTCAGTGTTCTCTCTAAAGGCCATCATTTGTGGTTTCACTGCATAACATTTAGTGTTTAAATGAGTTGATTACTCATTCCACAGAAAATTAAAGGGACATTACACTAATATTACATATAAAGTCAGTGTACTAGTCATCGGGTGTACTACGGAGCCTTTTTATTATATAATGTTGTCTGTGGTTCTCGAGGATTCTTTGGAATTCTAAGAGAGTTACATAGTTTGAGTGTCTCTAACCAGTTTGGGAAGCCTTGGATTCATGGATTTCACATTTTTGTCAGAAAGCATCTGTTAAAACTGGGTTGTGGGGTTTAAAAAAGATGTTTACAAGGCAGTAAGGGTCTAATCAGCAGGACAACAATGAACTGCATTATGAAGTGTCATCATCATTATTAATATTTTTGGGGCTTTACTCGCAGTAGGGACTAAAAGTCAGAATATATCCATGTCTGCTTCATTGATGTTGACCGTAAAATCTGTCTCTTGTCTGTCCCCCAAACTTTATGGAAGAGCAAAACAAAATCAATACGCCTTTTATTTATGTAATCTTACTTTTAGTAATTGATTGATTGCATTGATTTGTTAAGATAATTGCCAATGATTCTGTGGCGTCAGATTCTGAAATTTGAGGATTGGCTTCTTTCTTTAGATTTATTTAGATTATAAATTAAAGTTCTTTAGGTTTTTGACAGTTTGTAAGATAAAACAAGCAATTCAAATAATAATTATTATTTAGGCTACGGGAACCTTTAATGTTACTTCCACATTTCTTTTTTAACTTTTTAAAATAAAATTAATACTAATAATTTGCATTCTATAGTGCTTTTCATCAGACCCAGACATGCTTTACATACATGGCTAATATAACTAACAACTAATAAAATATAATCATTAGTCAAATTACAATGAAAATAAATAGTCTTTTTGTCTACCCACTGCAAAAACCTCTCACTTTGATTGTGATGTAGTACGATGTAGATTTAATTAATTTATAAAAAAGTGACGCTGTCCATGTTATATTCATAAGACAGCAACACAGTCAGTAGTGTCTTGGCAGTACGTGATTAACGGTGCAGGGGATCATTGACTGACACAACACGGAAGCACTGGAATGAAAAGTAAAGATCTTATCCTATCCTATCCTGTTTTGTGAGCAGTATATTTAACACAAAAAAACACCACAAAAAACATGTCCGGCCAAAATTCCAAACTTGTCACATCCTTCCAGTAACAATCCTTCTTGGTGCTTTCCACCCTCTTCCACCCCAAAGGAACGTGGCATCAGAGATTGGAGGAGAGCGAGAGGCTCTGTGGTTGAGTACGTTGTGGCTTTTAGCTGTGAATTCCCCTCCGTTGCCTCTGGGCTGGCCTCTCCTGTGAACATATGAACCGTGCCACAGCGTGTGGCGCTGGGAGATGGTCCAGGGCCTGCTGATTAAATATTACAGCCCTCTAAATGGATGGAGATTAGGCTCTGTGGGAATGTTAGGGTTTAATTTACCCCCCGGCCAGATATGTGTGTGTATGAGAGAGAGTGTGTGGCGTCTGTGTAGACATGAAAGGGAAAGAGGGGAAGGGGTTGTTGTACTTGTGCCCCACTGTAAATGGATTGCACGTCTCCAGGATTAGGTCAGTGGAGGACGAGCTGCGGTTTGATGTGGTGAATGTTCTGCAGCTATACGACGTGCGAGCAGGTTAACAGGATCGGTTGTGTTCAGCCATTCAAAAACAGTTTATTACATGTCAGC